TTGGGAAACGGGTGTCAAGTAAGGATGGCAGGTCAATATATGAAGTAATGAAACTTCATCCGTTGAAGTGGTTTGGACATGTGTTGCGTATGCCTAACCACCGAATGCCTCGTCGAGCTATGTTTTGCAATATAGGAATAGGTTGGAAGAAAGCTAGAGGCGGTCAGACCAAAACATGACACAAATCCATGAAGTCACTGACAAGTGAACTGAGTCATGTTGGTAGATGTAGGCTACCTGGTTGAGGTCCGTGAGATGATAATAATCGACGGTTAAAGACCCTGAGTGACATAGCTCAAAATCGTTTGCAATGGCGCAGGTGCATTTATTCTTCGTGTTCTATAAAATTCCTGCCTTCTGAATTCCTCATCACCTCACTCTTTCTCTTTCTAAATTTACCTCACTGAATTATACTTCTTGAATAACATCTTCGAACCCTAATCTCTCGGATTACTTCTAATACTTTCTCAACCTCTACTACTATGAGATTTGAATTGACAATTGTGTCTCTGTGCTAGGTTCTACCTTGCTGTTGATGATGACTATATTAGTTAAACTGATTCCTCTGTGATTGTCACAAGATGACTACTTTCTTTCCTTATGAACTGGGACGATCAGTGATCGAGACCAGACAGATGGGGTTATGTCCAGTTCCCTGGTTCTGCCCTAAGATCTCAGTCAATCTGACTGCTAAGGCTGGATCACCATCCTCTCAAATCTGAGGGGTTAATGTATCAGGGCTGCTGCTCCCCCTTGCTTCGCTTAGCCTACCTACTTGAGCATTAAATTCACCAGCCATTATTACTATATAAGAGCACTTAACCTTTCAAACAAGGTTAGGAAGGTTTCTGTAAAACTCATCTTTTACCTCATCTGAACTGCAGTCAGCGGGAGCGTAAGCAGAGAAAAAGAAAGAGGCGTTGGCGAGTGTCCCTATCTCTACCAGTCCTTAGGGTCCTGTTTAGTCGGACAGCGCATAAGCGACTATCCACTGTGATCTAGTCTGAGAGAGCTAGTTCTGCCCTAGGACTCGATGCAATACGTACACCAGCGAGGCCACGTCAAGCAGAAGTGATGATCACTAGTTTCTAATGCCTACCGTTGGATGTGTTACGTCTGAAACGTAGCTCAGCTGTTTAACGTCGTTTTTTATCGGAACGATTTTCGTTCTTGTAGAAATTTTTTAATTTCCTTGTCAAAAGAATTAAAAACCAGAATACTAACTTGATATAATAAGATAAAGAAATGACATTATTCAGCTTAGTATATTCTGTACCGATTCACTATGAATTCCGGCTAGTGTGAAAGTAACCATATGTATTTTCCACTTATATGTGTTATTATAAAGTGTGGTATATCAATGATTGTATTTTGGTTTGAGGATGATGTGATTTTAATGGACATGTTGTTGAGGAAGTCAATAAATCTTCATTGCACCTGTCCTTTGTATTCTCACTGCTTCAAGGCGATCGTTGTGGTTCCCCCCCTTTAGTACAAGCAGTAGGACCGAGGAATTGCTTTGGTTCCCGATATATATATATATATATATATATATATATATATATATATATATATATATATATATATAACACAGTTGACCACCAAATCACAAAATATGTTAAAACGTAACACGGTTAAGGACAAAATCTTTTCATCAATTAACTAATCAGACACCTTTTTGTTAAACATCATTAATGTTTAATTTGTTTGGCAGTTTTGAATATTTGACAGAGTAGTAAAATTATTTGTTCAGTTTACCATATACGAGTAGTTTTTAACTATCATATTATTCTATTGTTTTTTAATCAGTGACTCTTATTAAGATCTTCTGATTGCTGAAGATTGGATCTCTATGATGATAATCTAATTTGAAGATAAGTTAAATCACAAGCTAACTTTTAAATGCTGTAAATTTGTTTATTCGTTTCATGAACGACCTCTCCAACTCTCTCCGAATGCATTCAGAGCATTGTAGACAGAATCAATTTAGGTAACCGTGATGTAATACATTGAAAATGACTTGTACTCTAAGTTTAATGTATAACTGTTATGCGATTTCTTATTCTACATGATTTTATTCATCCGCACAAGTTCAATAACTATACTATGTTCTAGAATATTATAAGTGTAGAATATTATACTTAGGTTTAAATTCTGGATAATTAGTTTTAGGTAATGTTTTTCAATAGGAAGTATATCTGTCCATCCATATTTATACTATACTATGAATCGACTAGCATCAGTTTGTATGAAAATTTACATACATGCAAGTATTTGTACCTGTCACATGTAAGTTTTTTTATAACTTTGTCCTCAAAATCCTACTTTCTTACTACTTATTTAAATACTAATCAATGACTGTGCTAAAACATCTATAGTAATGGACGTCATGTTGTTAAAGGGAAAATCATTATACAACTGCGAAAGCCTATATTCTGAGATTATTTTTCTCTGTGTAACCTATGAGTTTAGCAAATCCACTCGCATTCGTTTTAGGAGTGTTGTTGACGGAGAAACTGTTTAACAACTAGTACAATTATATGTATTGATACTGAATCACTTTTATTGCATGTGGTTTAAGCATATCACTCTGTTGCCGGAACCTAGTAGGTATAGGTACGTTCGTACTTTTAATCTGTCAGTTGAAACCAGAGTTCCTATGCCATTGAGCCAGAGTTTCAGCTTTATTCCCTGGTACGGCTAGAAGTCGGAATAGCACGCTCTTCCTCTCTAAATCCTCCCATATAGTGAGCATATAGCAGCCACTGACAAGGAAGCCCTACTCACTACCTTCTTGTGGCGGCGATGTTGTTTACGACAAATAAGACAGACAATCAGAGCCTATCAAGTTAACCATGGAGAAAAAATTGATCAGTCAAATACAGTCCCCAGGTAATTTAATAGTGCTATTAGTTTCATGACGTTCGAAATTACCCAGCATATAATTGGAGCATAAAATTACATGACCTAAGTGTCATAGGCATGATTTTATCATCCACCGGTCACGGAATTGAACTAAGCAATCAAAAAACAGTAGATTCACCTCTATTTATTGGTAAAACAATATCTGTGATAGCATGCGACAGAGAAAGTTATTTGCTCTCATTTTTGAGCCTTGACGTATTCATTTCTGATGTATAAATGACTCACACGAGACCACACCTAAACTTTCTTTGTTCGTCTAATAAGCTGATACTCTACATAATTTTTTGATTGACGTTGGATCTATACTAGTTCAAGGGGAGCAAAAAAGTATACTCCTGTCCATTATAGCATTTATTATGTTATTTTAAGTGATTATTAAAGACATTGTTTTGGGTGGGCAAGCAATAATGACACAGTACTTTTATTGGGGAATATTATTACTATTAACAGTTTTGGTGATTGTAGTAATGATTTTTAATGGCTTTAGTTATCCTGATGTTGATATTTTTTACTGGATATTGATCAGTCTTGGTTGCCATATGTTCATCTTATGCAAACTGCCTTAGTATATCAATTATGTCACAGGTTTTTACACAGTAGATGGAGTATGGTTAAGAGCGGAATCTAAGACGAACGTTTTGTCTTCTTTGCGATTCGTTGGTAATATGTACCAGGCTTGCCCCAGCCTGTGGGATCGACACATTAGTACATATACTACAAGTCGTTAGAATGTCATGTCGATAACGTGGAGAACTGTAGCTATTCAATACGCACATAGAACTATCAATATTGTTAACCAAGTCTAGCCTCAGATACTTGTAGTGACTGATAAGCTTAACATCACGCTCTAGAAACAAAACCTTTAAAGCTCATCTGGGACTACTTCTCTGTTCTTTTGTGTGATAATTGTCTATAAAGCAGCAAATCAATAGTTTTATTGCGTGTTGGTAGGGTTATAACTTAATTCATCGCTCACCATGTCCTATTTACTTCTTTAAGCACTATGCTTTATTTATACTCTTTGTTAGGTAGCAATTTTTCAGTCTCCTGATTATATTCTCGAATCTTTTACTTCTAAACATACAAGTAAGAACTTCTAATCTTTCAGTTGTGACTACTGTTAGTATTATTGTGTTGACTAATAATTCAGACGTCATTTACATGTTTTTGTATACGACTGAGCGACACATTACATTTGAAGCTTTATTACAAGACCATTCAAACTGGAGTAGTTGATGTTAGACTAAGCTTGAAAACAAGTGGTTGAATGCAGAATACTCCAATAATTAGGCCACTGACCATACTCACTTGTGCTTCAACTACACCTGTTATTCATTGTCATTTGTTTTCATATCCCTATTAGAATTTTTATATGGTGTCAAACAGACTGCGTAATTAAACATATTATGTGACCATTCGGTCTTCGTTCATCAAAATATAGTGCAAAATTCTGTTCAGTAGGTAGTTTATATCTTGAAAAAACTCGCGAGTTTCCACTTGTGTAAGCAAAACAGAATACCTGTTCAGTATTCTACTTGTTTGTAGTTTTTCAATTGCTATCATTTCTCAACAAACAATTTTTTAATGCTCAGATCTTTAAGTGAAGTTTTAAGTTAAAGGGATTTTGAAGTTGATATCATTTGAGGAACCACTGAAAACTCTGAAGCACTGAAAAACTGATTCATTCCAGTCTGCTACTTTTCATCAGTGCACATCTAAAACCTTATACATGCACTTCAAGTCTTGTTGCAAACACAAACCCTTTAAACCACTACGTTAGAATCTAATGATCCACGTTTACAGAACTCTAATCAGTTAATTATAGAGAGTAATTATTACCCGCTATGGTTGGTCAGTTACGGTTTCTCGTTGAATTTAAACTCATGATAATTTGCTTACAATCCCAAAGAGTTCGAAGAGTATTTATAGTTTTATTAAAAGCTACATCACCATTTTTATTGTTATTAATATCAAATACTCGGATAAGGAAGTAATGAAAAGTCTACCTGAAACATGTCTTAACTGTCGCCTTATTATCTGTATTTTTATCTGTTGTCTCTTAATTTCTATCACAGCTTGGATGTTTTGAATGGAATTCACGTGGATTATTTCGTCAAACTGATATAGGATCATCTAATCGTTTAAATTCTATCAATCCTAGCGGTTCACATAATTGCATCGTACACAATGAAGATTTCACGTATATATGTCAAGAATCATCAAAACCAAAGTTTAAATCTGGTGCAGATAGTCTGTTACAGCGTCTACGTAAACGTTCTTTTTCACGGGATAAGCATAAACGTGATAATAAAATAGAATATTGTCGATCTTCTTCAGCTCCTCGATCTGTATATTCATATCAAAGTTCACCGGAATTCGAGATCAATCATCTTGATAAGCATTCATTCACACTAATAAATAAATGTAATAATTTGTTTGCTTCAAATTTAATTCCACAAATTTCTTTATCAAGAAGTGTTCCTGAATTAAAAAATCATAGTTGTCTCGTAAGTCGTTGACACACAACTGTCATTTTATTCGATTACTTTAATTTCATACTTGATTTAAACAAGTTCCCTTTGATCATCAAATGAATTTATTGTTAGTAAGAGTATTTTTTTCAAGTATAATTAGGTCGGTGTTAAAACAAGTGATTATCATGTAAAAAGTGAAAATTCTTTTCTGTTTCAAAGATTTAGCTACTAAATCATTATACACCCATGTTGTTGTTTCATATTGTTAACCATGTTAGCCAAGTGTCGACTGCTCAGTGTGTCATACCCAGGACCTTGGCGATACACCATTTTATAGAGTTCAGTTTAGACTTAAAAACATGATACTTTGGAATAAAGCGTATTTGTATGAAATCCAGTAGTTAGTCAAGACTGCGTGGATTGTGCAATTTATTGGCTTTAAACTCTAACTAGCTAGTAGAAATACCGTTTCAGTTTTCCTTTGTGTTCTTCATAAAAAGTGATTTTACCTTGAACAACTTGACCTTATCATTCTTGTTATCATGATATGATTTCACTTTTTCTTTATTTCTTCACCTCACTATCATGTTGTTTTGTGTAACTCATCTTTAAATGCTCTATTGCACCAAGTGATTGCTTTTTAGGATAACTAAAATGATATTGGTGATAATTTCCATCTTTCATCTACATTGTTATCATGTTAAACATTAAATCAGTAATACATACGTTTTATGATATTGAGGACAATACCTATTTAATGTTTTTAAAAAAAATTTGATATCTTACGTTAATGTGTTACCTAGAGACTTTGTATAATTATTAGATAACTAGATCATTAATTAACCCATTAACTAATTTTGTATGATTTACTAATTCTAATCTTTTGACAGCTTGTCCTACCCAGACTCCCCTATTCACAGCCACTCTTGGCTCACTCATGCATAAATATCTTTTCTCATTCTATGGGGCGATGTGGTCTGATATGTTTTGTATACAAACTATGCCTACTTGAAATATAACGAATTTTGTAGAGGCTGCCAACGGACTTCTGCACTAAGAGGGTAGAATAGAAAGAAAGGTGCTATCGAGTTGTGGACGAATAAAAATTTAGAGCTGGCTCAAACGTACTGGTGCTAAAACGTAATTCTGTTTAATGTTTGTATCTGTCACGTGATATTGGTCAACGGTTCGGGGAGGGGAATACAACAAGTTACCACTAGATTTAATGTTGAGCGTGTTCCAACTTGTCTGTGTCTTTGGCCTATGAATGTTTGTTTTTTATTGCGAATAAATTACATGGTTCTGTACAAAGTTTTAGTGTATGTATCTGTGTATACGTATTTAACGTCAAGAGATTTTAATTTGTTCTCTTTACCTCAAAGTGGAGTTTATTGAAATCGACATTAGCAGCATCCATTCCTATGGTATCAATTTAAGTGTAAATGGCTGAGCTAGGTTATTAAAAGAATGATTTTCGATCTATTGATTTACCAACATGTACTTTCAGATTAGGTAAATAGTGTACTCTACTCAATGGTCAGTATTATTGAAAAAAAAGCTTTATTCACCAGAGAGCATTATGTAGTTTCTAGTAGGCTATTCAAAAAAAGAGGAGCCAAGTAAAGTGATGGTTGAGGAACTTGAAACAGCTTTCAGCAACTGTATTCAGTAGTGAAGCTGAGCGGGTGGATTATTTCCTTCGCTAACCTTTGATCTAGAGGCCTAATCTGCCAGGCAGTAAGATGGTTAGGGTATTCAGTTCGATGCTGACTGGTGACCAAAATCAGTTTAAACACTATTCTTCCGTTTGAGATCCTGATACCCACGTGCATTCCTAGTTTTGGATCTCAGTTTTCTTAGCTACGTAGGAGGATCCCACGTATCTACCAACCAGGTTTAGGTACTGGATGTCCACTTTCCATCCTCTCATTTTCTTATAAAGAACCTCAGATGCTAGAAGGCAGTGAACTTTCGTGGTAGGAAATCTAAACTCCTGATCGTATGAGAAAATTTCCAGAAGCGTGAACTCTCCTCATTCTCGACTGTACTAGAGCATTTAAAGGTCGACTGCAGTTAGAAGCATATATTAGTATGATATCATATATATATATATATATATATATATATATATATATATATATATATTAGTTAGATATCACTTATTTATTCACAAAAGTAATTTGTCTCTTGTAAGATTACGTTGACCATAACAACGTCGACTTCAGGGTCCCAAAACATTTCCTGACTAAACAACAGACTGTCTAGATCCGTGAGAAAAACATTTTATTTGACGAAGCTTCGAATCGTTTTATCAAGTGAGAAAAATTCAGTGGCTTATCAAGGAGAAACTGCTGCTTCGGGCTACCTCAGTGTGCCTATTAGTTTACTTGCTTTTTTGAAGAAGTTATATCAGCCTATCACTACTCGGCATGGTTACTGAACGGGAACGCAAATTGTTCAACAGCTCCATACCTTTGAACAGATGTTCAACTCTAGTCATACGTCAACACATATATCACACTGTTCAAGACTACCTACAATGTTAAAAAACCTGGTTCGATGAAGGTTTGGATGGGCAGCTGAAGCTGTTGCAATTCACCATTTCGAACCCGATATCTGTATAAGATAGTCTCGTAGAATCCTTTATTCTTCCATCGTCTTATCTTCCCTCCTGATTTTACGTACCATAAGTCCTAGTTATTATCTTGTTCTTTATTTTCTTCTACTTTGCAGAGTTGCATTTATTGTGCTTATTACTTCTGAAGCTATTAAAAACTTCATTTATCGATAACTTTTGATTACTTAGTCCAAATGACTATTCTTTGTGTCGTTTGTGAAGAATTTGTAGTCTGACTGACTTTAGCGGAACATTACTAACCCAATAAATTATTGAGAATAATTGAAGTATGTTGACACTGTCACCAGTTTACACTAAATCAATAGTAATTTTAATTATAGAGTGACTTCATTTTGCTAGTGTACATACAACCTCTCTCTATTTGTATATTTTCACAACTTGAAATTAGTCTTATTCAAACATTATTGTCCTTGTTTTTTTATTCACAAATCTTTGTATTATTGTTATTATATTATTATTGTTGGTTTGACATCACTGTTAATCTCCCAAACACATGATTAATTTCGTTAGCATTCAGTTCATTTTATTATTTCGTATTGAATTAATATTATTTCATACACACTATATGGTCTCCCACCAAATATTTATTCCGAGTTGTAATTACATTATTATTTTTCGCATAACCTAACATTGACAATTTTTTTTTAACAAACAATCCCAAATTCATATGCTTTGACTTGAAACGATATATCTTACCTTAATTTTGGTCACCGGTTTGATACATGATTGTAGAATGTAAAGAATTTTCTTCATTCATTTCTTTCGAACTTGACATAATTCATGAAAGTTTTAGAAAATGATCACTTGGATATTTATTTCTTAACTCTATAAATTGGGATTTAGTCTAAGTCACCGGTCCAGTGTAAAATTATGTACTGGACGTCACGTAATACTTTTCGCATGAAAGCTAAGAAGACTGCTAAAAGAGCAGTGCACCAAGATTTTAAATATTTGGCTTCCAACCATTTTATTACACGACCGAATGCAGTCTCATCTAATTTACTTTAGAACAACTAGGTAGTATCATCAACCTGAATAGAAAAGTGTAGCGTAACACCGCCAAAATGTCACATTTGTTTGAGGAAAATTATTAGTGTCGCTTATCCACGTTAACTCAAAGAAGTAGAATGAAATCGAAATCTTTGACCGAATTATTCAAAGAAAGAGAAATCTAATTACCGAGTAGTTGAGGTTATGAAACATTGGTGTTATTTTAAAATGACGCACTCAACTTTCAGTTGCTATATTTTTTTCAGGTAACTGTACACCAACTTTAGTTTTTACACTGAATGTGCTGATCAAAGCCATCATGAAATAATAGACTGGTATTTGATTGTTGAGTTTCGTTAAGATTAAGTGAATTCGTGTCAGTGCTGATTACTATCAACACTATGGTTCTGTTTTTTTCTATTATTTTCATTATCATCATTAACTTGTAATAATTTTGAAAAAAATGTCATTTTTTTTCTCGAAAATCAAGAAACCATCAGGCTATTTAGACAAGACTATGTCGTATCAGTATAATGTAACGTCATCTGAATTTTATCCTAAATCATCAACCTATTTAAAATCATGTTTTTCATCGCAATCATCTTTTCCTGTTAACAATGATAAGACAGATACTATTGCTGCTGCTACTACTACTACTATTGCTAGAACTAACAGTAATCAAATGGAATTGTCAAGAATTGCCAATTCATCCTATACTCTTCCAATGAAAAACAAAACCACAATTAACCATGAATTATATCTTCAAACAAATTATCACACATCTATCAATGATACTATATTGCATGGTAACTTTGTTAGTTCATCTATAGCACCAACCTCTGCCACCATGACAGATTCATCTTATTTAGGATCTAATTCTGATTGTATGGATATTCCACATACAATGAAATATTCCGATTCATTTGTGTTATCGGACAAAAAACAGCAATATCAAGCTCCTCATAATCCTTTAGTCTCTTCTATGTACTCAGAAGTTTGTCCTGAATGCTGTTTTACATATGATAATAATAATCAGAATACAGCAGCTAACAATGGTCAAAATCTACAATTAAATTCCCTTAGTTATTCTTATGGAATGAAGCATTCACCAGCACATAAATCTAATAACTGTAAGTTTTATAATTACCTTTATACTAAATAGGTGTTTTTACCTTAAAAACTTACTGATCACTTAGTTTACATCAAAATTGGTCAGCATTTTGTAATTTAAACATCTACTTCAATCCCTCATCTGATCGAACATATTTTCATTATACCTGAGTTTCTAAATCCCACTTAATTAATTTAACCAAACATAGGCCCTCTGAGTATATCTTACAGATGATATTTTAATGTACTGATACAGATCAAGTTTGCTCATACATAGAGGACTTTTTCTAAGAAAAAAGTTTTTGTAGAGTTAACAAAGTCCTTTTTTTTAAGTAGGCTATAGTTGAAAATTTGGTCTGATAAATGTAAATCACTAACCTGAAGTTTTTTTGAGTTTGACCTCATGTAAGGTGAAGATTAATTTTCAATAAACTGAAGATATTTATCTTCCAATCAAGACTATAAACTGTTGTGTACATATCAAGAATTTGTTAATTTTTAGACTAAATATCTAATGTATATATTTATATTATAGCTGAGGAATTTAAGATATACATTTATGCAGGTTTTTTTGCAAAATTACGCTCGATGAACAAAGCTTACTAATATATGAAGAAAGCAATGAAGATGCAAAGAATTTTTTAGCTATCATTTAATTTCGGATAATTCAGTTGACATTATGAGTGTATCAGTATGACCATTTAGCGCTACTTCAAGATGAAAAACATTCGTTCTATATTCTTTCATAACAGATACTAATTAAAAATATTATCGGTCGCCGAAAACGTTGTTGCTTTTTACACTATTTTCCCTGTATCTATGATTGCATTCTTGTATGAAGAGTAACTAAATTGATATATTGGATAGTTTTCTTCAAGCGTGTTAAATTTCCACCCAAACTCCATTCATACAAGATAGAAAGCCATCTAGTATCAGAGAAATATTAGACAAAATATGTTTTTATTCTAGATGGACAGTCAAATTGTTTGCTTTCAAAACAGACAAAAGAAGCTGATGAGATTTAGCTGCTCATATATCTTCTTAACTTTCTCATTTAACGTCCCTACCCGTATTAATTCTCTTTATTTGTTTTGATGAATTATCTTTATGATTTCGTTTTTAATTTCAACTACTTAAAACATTCATACTTGTGTGATTTGTTCTAGTGAGTGCAATACATTATAATTGTTTTAACCTTCTAAAACTTTTTAGGTATAGTTCAATTTGAAACGGTTCGAATGGTTTTGTTGTTGATATCTTGACTGAATTTTGACCAATCTTGGTTGGCATATGGGCACCCTATGCAGACTGCCTCGATATAACCATTATGACACAAGTTTATGTAGAATAGCTAGAATGTGGCTAGCATTAGAATTCAGAATATGAGTTCTTTCTTAATCAGGACGAATTAGACTGTCAGGGTTGTTAGATATCCATAATTCGCTTGGTAATCCTCTTAATTTCGTATTTTATTTTTGGAAATTTGACTTTCTTAGTTTTTCTCCAAAAGCGCCTCTTGTTACTTTCACTTCGCATTTCCCACTTAAAAGGACCTTAAACCTCATTAGTTAGTTTTCTCTTTTCGTGTCTATTTTGTAAATCTTCCAAAGACACTTTATACTGTACAAATTACGCTTGAATTGAATGCTTGGTTATTCTTTGACTCTATGCCGCTCGTGGACTATAGAAATTTCCTGCTGACCTTGAACTTCTCGCTCTAGTTTATTGGGCTGGGTCATAGAGAATAGATAAGTCGTCCTGTTTTTGTCTTAATTAGTGCAAGCACAACGTGGGTTGATATATGTCTATATGTCACGTCCTTTAGCCGTTTGCCAACCAACTGACAGGAAATAAATTTTCCGAAATCTGGTTGAAAGACCTTGATGCAATAGGCTATATATTTGACCTAAAGACTAGTAGCACGTGGGTTCGGTTTTGAATAAACGGCCTAGGAAAAGGGAAGAAAACTATTCTATCACCGGATAGGCCAACAAACAAGATGGACAAGACTGATTGACTAGAATACTATATTTATTCCTGATTCAAGTAATGAAAGAGACAGGAAATAATCAAAACTTATGCTTGTCAGCTGATATGCTTGAAACTATTACGAGTTCACCTTTGTCGGTAAACGAGAACGAAGAAAAACGATCCGGTGGCACGATAGACTACTCTAATCCGATCGTCCCAATTCCCCAACTAAGTAGATGAATTAGTCTTGACAAGACGTAGAAAGTGTATTCTACAAGCACCCAGAAAATATGAGGTTGACAAGCACACCAATCGAGATTATTTATACATGATAGAAATATCCTTGGGAGAGCCAAAAAATAGCGTACTAAATTACTACATCAACCAATAACAGTCAAAAATTTTCCGGATGGAAACGTAATCTCAAGGGCAACTGGTCAGCGAAAGCATTGTTGCTTAAGGTGGTTAGAAGACGTCATTTTGTCAGCGTCTTTACCAAACAGAACCATGTCATCGTTATATTCTAAGTCAATAAGCGAGTCTCCTGGTGGGAAGTCAACTCCTGAAAAGTCAGACGATGAAAGTGTAACGTCTAAAGGCATGTCAATAACAAAGTTGAATAAGAATGTAGAAAGTGGACATGCCTGACCAATGCCAGTTGAAGTAATCAGTTCTAATGACAGCTCACTATAAGCTCTGACTCGACCAGTGGTGTTCGAGTGGAGAGCTTTTATAAGGTTAATGTACTTCTCTGGTATACTTTTCAAGGACAGGCACTGCCACAAGATCTCACGATCCCTACCCACCACTGTTCGCGATCATTGCGTAAGCTTTTTATCAGCTTGTGCTCAAGCTAACTTCGCTGTTCCTCGTGTTCAGAGTCAGACGGGATGTGTTTCCGAGCATGAAACTCTTGGAGCCCTGGTACATTCTAACAATTATTTACTAATTTACTTGAAACTGGTAGTAACCTACCTTGAGCTATATTTGCTTGTGCAATAGTTAGTTAAACCATCCAACATTTTTCAAATCAATATGTGCAGTGGAATTTGAATCTGAATCCAAATGGTTAGATGCCAAGCGTTTTAACTAACTCATCAGTATCGTTTGATGATGATGATGATGATGATGATGGCTGTTTGACTACATTATTGTGTAGTCCTATTTAAAAAGAAAATATTTGCCGAATAATATTTTTGGATTATTTCATACTGAAACAACATAAAATGGAAATTCTGCTTAATTCTTTTACTCATAAATTTGCAAATATCTTTATGCGCATATAGACCCACTATTTTCTTTTTTATTCATCTTTCTTTCCGCCTTTGGAAAAATTATGTTATCCCCTTTTTTTGTATCACTACTATGTAACGTGAATGAATCATCAATTATTTTATGCTTTCTGTTTATTTTTTTCTGAAAAAAACATATTATTTCGTCTTTTTATCTAGGGAACAATCACTACCACCTTTCAAATATGGTTGCACCTTTTTTAGCCGTCAACGCTTTTCTTTTAATTTTCTGTCTTCTCATCTGGTTTATTTTCTTCAGTCGATTTCTAGAAGCTATACTACTAATAATTATTTGATGTCATTTCTCTTTCTTTTTTTTTATAAGTCCCGTTTATTTACTTCTTTATACTATTGTTTAAACTACTTCTTAGTGTGATTGTTGTTATTTCTTCACTTCAGTGATTTACATTTCACGATCACAGTTGGGAGTTTCATCGACTATTAAGTTGTTCACTGTGTTTGTTTTGTATTAGATGTAAATGTGTATGTTTGTGTGTCTATCATACTATTCTTTAAGATGCCTTTTGTCAATCATTTTGTAGACAGTTTCTTAAACCCTGTAGTTATGATGTTTGGACTGATATACACATGTTCAAATAAGTTTTTCTTTAATTTCTATGCAAAAATTTTTAGTTCTTTTTAGTTTCAACAATGTTTTATCTTTGATTATTGTCTATTTAATCCTAATGACTAAGGAGTTTAGTGTAACTACTGAGTGATGACACATAATTTGGTCTAAGAAGCTGAGTATCTAGATTATTAGCGCTATTTAGAAAGTGGTGCTTGTAAAATCGAAGAAACCGGTACTTTATCAGTGATTCACTTTGTGGAAAACCACCTATAAAACCACTTCTTGTTGATAAACTGGTTCCTGTGTGACAAATAACATAAGTTTTGTGCTCTGTTGTACTTCGACCAGTTATATTCGAATGAAAAGCCTTTAGAGGGCTTTCATACTTCTTCAGGACACCTGTTAGTGAGAACTTACCGAAAAAATTTTCCATCTACAGAATTTAGTACTGCTTCTAAGTCAAGAAATACTACCCCTGTTGGACGTCGGTAAATATGTCCTGGGACCCGATGAAAACTGAATGTTTGGTCGATACATCTATTCAAATCCGAAACCAGCCCAGCTTCCTCATCTTTTTGTTTATGAGCTATAATTAAGTGCTTAATAATTATCGACTTCAATATTTTGGATAATATTAATCTCTGTTCCTCTTTATAAATGAGAACCAACAGTCATGACCAGTCAGATGACATTGTATCCAGTTCTCAAACCAGTTAATATCTCTGTTCATTTTACAACTAAAACTGGACCACAATCCTTGAGGATCTCTGAAGTTAAATGTTAGATCCTGCTGTTCTCCGCTTCAGATTTCCCTTCTCAACGTTTTTAATGTATAGAGGCTTACGCTGATTTCCCATTCAAGTTTTCTTTATATAGAAAGTAAGTGTGCACGGTTATGTGGTGCTACTTTTGTTACACAGCTTAAATGCTAAACAATCTTAATAGTTTGGTGTTTCCGCAAACATCCGGACGAATCATAAGCTACATATCCTAAGTTCCGCAAGTTTTTAAAAGTATCACGAAACTGTTACTAGTTCAGATCCTATATCCAATTACATGTGGAGTCATAGATGCTCATTACTAAGCAGCTTCAAACTAGAACAGAATAACTGACTTGTCCTCGGTGGTCTTTACTATTTCTCCGGTTAACATCAGCCCATGATGAAAACTACAGTGTAGATTTCTTGATCGTTTGATAACCTACTTGTTTGTTGATATAGGACTCTAAATGTAACCTGGTCTCATTAAAACAAAGGAAATTATGGATGTAATCGTCATGTTACTAACCTCTTCCAATATATAGATTATATATTGGAATTAACCAATTGGTTTTGAGGCAAATATCACATTATTACTTACAATATACTTAACGTTTGGTTTCTCATAAAATTTTTAGCTTTAAATGTGATTAAATTCAACGGAAATTTTACCAATGGTGAAAATCAATTAGTCACTTTGAGCATACCAACAACAACAACAAATCCTTCAACTATGACAACTGATCATTTATTAAATAACAGTAATATTGTAGACCTTGACCAAACACAAAATAATTCATCTTGCAATTCACTCCGACCAGATTCTCTTCTTTCCACGTCAACAACAACAACGACAACAAGAGAATCATCTTGTTCTGACTTATCACCGAATTCCATGTCTTCACATGATTCAGCTTTAGGCGGAGAGAAATTTCAGTCGGATATTGGACTACTGAAAACTATTTGTCCGGGTACAATGTAAGTATTCTTTTTTGTGTATGTTTTCAATATTGATTAAATGTATACTACCTGAAGTTGAAAATACTGATGAATAACTCAACACTCTAAATATCGTCATCATCAACAGCAACGTAGAACTTTGCACGTAAGTACAGCAGTTCAAGTTGCCATACCACTTCAGCACAGAGATTTAATCGTCAATACAAGTCCCATAGTAGTAGAGGTTGTAAAAGTATTATAAGTAATCCGAAAGATTAGGGTTCGAAAATGTTATTCAAGAAGTATAATTCAGTGAGGTAAATTTAGAAAGAGAGAGGTGATGAGGAATTCATAAGGCTGGAATTTTATAGAACAAAAAGAATAAATGCACCTGCGTCGCTGAAAACGATTTTGAGCCATATCACTCAGGGTCTTTAACCATCGATTATTATCATCTCACGGACCTCAACCAGGTAGCCTACATCTACCAACATGACTCAGTTCACTTGTCAGTGACTTCATGGATTTGTGTCATGTTTCGGTCTGACCGCCCCTAGCTTTCGTCCAACCTATTCCTATATTGCAAAACATAGCTCGACGAGGCATTCGGTGGTTAGGCATACGCAACACATGTCCAAACCACTTCAACGGATGAAGTTTCATTACTTCATATATTGACCTGCCATCCTTACCTGGCACCCGTTTCCCAACAACTCCATGATACTCGAGCAATGCTTCGAAGACACCTATGATCGAAAACCAGTAACCTACGAATATCTTCTACTCTGACTGACCATGTTTCACAGCCATAAAGTAGGACGGATCGAACTACTGCACAGTACACTCGTCCTTTGGTCAGCCATAAGTGACGCAAGTTGGCAAAAGCTAATCGAGCTTTCTATATCCGTGCTGAGATTTCGTCAGTCACCAGGCCATCGGCACTGATGAGACTCCCAAGATAAGTGAAGCGGTCTACACGATCAACTACGTCACTCCCTATCACTAGTTCTGGTACAGATGCGACCCAATCTTGAAGCAGCATTGTGCATTTCGACGGGGGAAAACCGCATCCCGAACATGCTTGCATTGTTGCTTGGCGTAGTCATAAGACTTTCTATTTTGTCAGCGTCTTCACCAAGTAGAACTAGGTTATCGTCATATTCTAAGTCAATAAGCGTGCTTCCTTGTAGAAGGTCTACTCCTGAAAATTCAGATAACGTCATATCTAGAAGCAGGTCTATGACAAAATTAAACAGTTATAAAGGCAAAATTAGCCGTTGAATTCAGACATTTGTTTCTTTTTTACAATCGAAATAACTTGTACGCTCGTTTTATCAAATAATCTGATGATGACATTGCTTTATATACTTAGTTTCTAAAATTCTTTTGTATATGAAGATAAAGAGTTTGTGGAATTACCCGGTTTCCCTTTTCGGAAGTATACAGTTCATAATTATGAATTACCTTACATCATTGAAACCATAAGATAATTGTGCATCGGTGATTTTTAGTGAAAATGTGTATGCTAGTTTGTGTTTTGAAATAAGATCCCAACATTATAATGCCAGTCGTTTTATCGATTGAATTGAAAGCTCAGATAATTTCTATCTACGACAGTGTCAATATTGATGACATTGTTCCATCAGCCTACAGTTTAAGTCACAATAATTATAAGATAAACGACATAATAACTGTACGCATGTACATGAAGTAACGTAGAACGACTTATGGCATAATATTTTGTAGATGTTTTCATGTAGAGATGTATGGAGATTCAGTGTGCCGTATGTGAACAACTGAAGCATAAATCTGCTTTTTATAGTCGTGTTTTTCTTGTCCAGAAAACATTAACTGTAGCTGATGCGAAATAAAAGAAGCAAAAAGTATGGTAAGTGCCTATTCGAAAACAAACCACTAATTGCATGATGATAGATCACGTAATGATTAAGATGACTAATGATCAGTAAAAATCAAAGTGATCTTGAAAAATAGGCAAATTCCTATTGGGCCAAGTTTGATATAGGTGTTTGAATCAAGCACTTCTAACCAGCTAACAAAATTGTTCTTCGAAATTCAAACGTATACACAAAAAAGTAACTTGACAGTGAATGATTTACCACGTCACACTCTTAGCGAACTTATAGTTCTATTTCAATAGAGTGAATATTGTTAGATCAAAATTATTTTTCGTACATTCAAGTGTGTGCGGCTCCAACTGTGAAGTTTGCTCAAGGTTTCTGGAAGGTCGATTGGCTTGTTTTAATAACATTTATAATTTTTAGCGACACAAATTTCCGAAATAAAATGTTTTCGGTAGGGAACCATATGATTATAAACCTGAAATACACAAGCGAAATCAACATATTTACGGCGTATGCACGCATAACTACTGTTGTTGCGAGGTTAAGATAGTCTCCAATTTCATTCTTCGGATTCACCACTTCTTTGTGTTAGTATTCGAGCCACTTTGGAGCAAGTATATGATGCGTGAAAACCTTAAGTACATGAATCAAAGACCAATACATTCTCTAGTGTATACATAAATATAGATGCTTTTCCTGTAATCGTTTTACATAAGTTCATAGAACATGCACACTTGAAACACGTAGGTCAAGTAGATTTATGCATCATATAGTACGCACAGTCATAGATGCGCCCAGTGTATCAGACACAAGTAGAAACATCTGTGAACCTAAATTTACAGTAGAGTAGTAGATAAGGCCACTCTACATTTATCATTCATGTTAGTTCATGCAACGTAGTCCCTAATATTCCTCAGGTACTCATTAGAAGGTTTGCGTCGAATTTTAAGTCGTCTCTTTCGAAGGATTATTGTTTATATTTCTATTGTATAGATATTAAACATTTGAATTATTATACTCTTATATTGTGAGCTTTCATTCGGTGCATAAATTTGTTGTATGTTTTATCTGTCTTAAGTTATTGTTGATTAATCGAGGACCTATCACTTAACTCCCACTTATGGCGTAGTTATGGCCATAATGTAGTTTCTGATTAACTGTATGAGATCAAAATTTTGTTTTACGCCAGACTGTTCTATAGAGTTATCTCCCTTCTGTGCTGTTCTGTTTTGGCTATCGGGCAAGTGCAAATATACAGTGTTTTGTAACAGATTTTAACTTGAGCATACTTTTTTTATTACCTAATTGAAGTATCTTGACAGGAAAAGTTGCCAGTAGTCATATAATATATATTATATTCGTGATTATTTTAAACATTGTAACAACAAGCAGATATGTAAGATCCATAAAGCAATAAATAAACATAATCTACAACAACAAAAAAGTATGTTAACGAAATTCGGGGACTGTATAGTATGAGCTGAATGAGCTGAAAACGAACTCAATGAATTTCCAGTTAATATCTAGTCAATCAGAAAACAGCTTCCATAAACAGAAGGAAAAAAGCAATATTAATACAAAGTGTACACATATTTCACATAACTAATAAGTTCATTCATGCCTTCGACAGGTTATCCTGTAAATACGAAAATAACGACATGGTTTAAGGTTAGGTTTGATGGATATTATTAACTTGTCTGTTATATACAATGCAAGGAGACAGAATAAGACAGTTGACACACTTTGCCTTATCATTTTCAGTCTGTGGTTTGGGAAAAAAATTAGTTTTTCTCTATTATTTTTGAACGTTTTGAGCAGTGTACGCAGTTATTTCCACTGTTCGTTATGTATGATATTTGAATTTTTCTCAAAAACCGACAGTTTCATATACTATACTTCTATCAGTTGATCTTGCCATTCTAAGTTTAGGGTGGCAGGCTTGAAGACGAAATGGTGCACACGGGGTAGAAACCATTTCACAAAATTCTTATTAGTGAATAACCACCTTAGAAATGATAGCTGTTTATACTGCCGAATACTATCCACAACCTTTACACAATACGCGTGTGATTCAAAGCCTATTTTATTCAAGGACTGATTTGTACTATTTGTTATATGAACTGTTACTTTTTCAAGATTCTGTTTTGTTTTGTTTTTTTCTAAAATGTATGATAATCATCTAAATTATATGTCCTAGTTGAAATTGACAGATGTATTAAGTCATACAAAATGTAATGAACTTAATGGTAAAATAACTAAATTGATAACACAAAATGATTGATGTTTTCATTAGAACGATTATTATTATTATTATTCATGGTTAATATATTTAGTTGTATTATTAACTTTAAACATTGAAAATAAACAACAAGTTTAATTTAGTTCATAATTTTTGCATCAATTAATTAGCACATGGAAAACAAAGTAACCAGTTAATGAAAAAAAGATAGGCAATTGTATATTTGATTTTATTTATACATAAACTAGCTTACGATGTCTACATGTATCTGAAATTGCCAGTTGGTCATGTTGATTCGTTTTCTTCACAGTCTGTCTTATTGAAAGTATGTTTTTTCACTTTATGCATTTGAATCCAGTTGAATTGCATTATTACAATTAAGCCTTAGAATATCAAAGTAATTAACCTATTTTTTTTTTAAATCTTCAATTTGTTCTGTTAGAACTGCTTATATTTGCTTAAATTTATTAGCCATTAGTTTAGTATAACTGAGAAATTAGCATACAAGTTAACAGCTTATTAATTATATTGTGGAGAAGATGGCTTGGTAGTTAAGATGTTTGACTTTCAGTTAGTAAGTCCCAGATTCCAAACATACTACAGCTATTTCGGTTTCAGCAGCCGTGTATCATTAGACATTACACTAAAAAACGTTTAGCCCATACCTAAGTATCTAGTGACTGAATTAAACTAATTAAATTAGTTGTAATTTGCATAAAATTGTTTCTTTTCATAAATCTACTTTTAATTCAACATCTTACAGACAGTGTAACCGATATAGATCCTCATTAGATTTCAGATCATCAAAGATAATTTGTTATCTAGCTCAAGATTATCAACTGACTTGTCTATTTTATTCGTATCTTTTATTCATTAAATTATGGAAAATCAACATTGCATTGCATACACATATCACGTAGTATGTTGTACGACTTTAT